GCCCCGTGTGTCTGCTCACGCTGCAGCCCGGACGGGAGCAGAGGTCGGGCGCCGGTGGAAAGAGCTGGTCGGTGGGATGGGGAGGCGCCTCGACGTCGAGGCACCGATCTCGCAGCAAACCTCTCCGGAGAGGGGTGAGGAGGGACCCCGGGCTGCGGCACACGCTGCCTGAGCCGCAGCAGAGCGGCAGCTCATGGTGCAATTTCATTCCAGGCAAATCCCTGCTCTACCTCTTCCTTCCCTTCCCCTCCCAAGTGTGCTTATGCAGCAAGCTTCGTACCTTCAAAGGGGTTTTGCCTTCTTATTTCAAGCCTCCCACTAGTTTTGGCCTGACAGAGGGGCCTCGGGACAAAAACCAGGAAAGGGAGACCCAGGCAGCGCTCTCCCTTGCACAGTCCCGATCCCCACCTTACACAGCACACAACACACCACCAGACCACTCAAATCCTGCAAGAGCGCAAGAGCACAAAATACATTCCACTGCCTGACACCACCATGTCAAAACCAGCACGAGCGTGACGCAGCCGCCTCCCTCCCCACCCTGGGAACAGACAGCGCAGCCGGCAGCCTTCCTCACTCTGCCAGCAGCCTTCAGCAGAGGTGAGAGGGTGCAGTCCTTTGCCAAACAGCCCGGTACTGCTGGGCCAACATTTGCCAGAGAGTCTGTGGGAAGTCCGCGAGCAAGGACGCGCAGGGCTGCTCCTCTTCCTCGGCCCCGTCAGCCCTCCCCGCAGCTCTCGAAGTACTGGCACATCAGCTCGCGCACTTGCTCAGCCCGGCTGTCCTCCATGGCGGCAGGCGCGGGCTGGCAGGGCTTGGGCAGCTCAGTCGGCTCAGTGCCCTCCAGCCACTCCTCGTTGAAGGGATTGTCGTGGGCTTCACAGACGTTGTGCAGGATGCAGCAGGCGAGGACGAGGGTGGGCAGCAGCTCCAGGCTGCAGTCGTCGCACTTGAGGAGGATCTGCCAGCGTGCCTTCAGGCGCAGGAAGGCGTTCTCGATCACGCTGTGCGCCCGCTTCAGGCGGTAGTTGAACTGCAGCTGCCGCTGGGTGAGGTTCTCGTCCTCCTGGTAGGGCTTGAGGATCCAGTCTTGTAAGGGGTAGGTGGCATCGCCCAGCAGCACGTACTTCTGCGCCTTCCCCATGAAGTGCTTGGGAGGGTTGGGGCACAGCCGGCCCTCCTTGGCCAGCACCCACAGGCTGGAGCTCTCCAGGACCGCACTGTTCTCCATGCTGCCAGGGAAGGCGGTGGAGACATCCCAGAACTGGCCCAGCCCATCCACGGTGGCCTGCGTCAGGATGGAGTGCCAGCCCTGGCCGTTGCAGTAGTCGGCGCTGAGGCGCAGGGGCGGGTGGATGGGGATGTGAAGGCTGTCCAGGGCACCGATGCAGTGCGGAAAACCCCAGCGGGTGCGGAAGATTCGCACCATGTTCTCCAGCTCCTTCTCGTTGGGCAGCCGGAGGTAGAGGGGCTTCAGCAGCAAGACAACGGCGTAGCTCACCTCCCGGACGCACGTCTGCACTGTGGAGGGCCCCACGCCGAAGAGCGGGCTGAGAGTCTGGTACTCCACGTTGGTGGCCAAGTGCCACAGGGCCACGGCCACCCTCTTCTCCAGGGGCAGGGTGGGGTGGAAGTGGGCGCTGTGCGGAGCCAGCCCAGGCCGCAGCTGGTTGCAGACATAGAAGAAGGTCTCCTTGGACATCCGAAACAAAAAGGGCCCCAACCTCCTTCAGGCCCACCCGCCCCCACCAGTCTGTGCTCCTGACGCTGGGCCAGGCGCGGGGGTAGAAGTAGCAGCTGGTTCTCCTCCGGCGAGCAATCAGGAGCTGCAGAATGGTGAAGAGAAAAGAGGGGCATGAGACGGCGCTTCCCTGGCCCACACCCTGCGC